TACTAGATACAGCAGTTATGCGGGCACTTCGCGAAGCAGAGATGTGGACGACGGCTTTGGAGATGGCTTGGAGGACGTTCGAGGCCGTCATATGACCCCGCGGTCTCGCGGCTCTCCTCGGGACCGCAGCGAGGCGGAATACGGACGACCTCCCGTGGGTATCTCATCGGATCACCACCACCTTCAAAGCTCAAGAGGCGCAAAACACCCGCCAATGGTGCAGCGAAGCTACACTTACGACACGAGTACGCCAGAACGGGATGGCTATGCGTCAACAAAGAGTCATCGATCATCAAGTATCATCCGCGGTTCTCCGGTTGAAGAGGCCTACACAGTCAGACGCTCCAAGTCAGGCACCCGCGTGAAGACGACCACTGTCAAAGCCGGTGGCAGTCCATTGGGAAGGTCTGGCGCTTATGGTTCGAGCCGTGATGGGGGTTTGCCTAGAAATGCTTCGGGTAGCTTGAGCGAGCTCGTCACACCTCATGAGATTCTGCTACCGCCCGACACCCCCGGTGTTCAGTCCACAAAGTGGGACAATGAGGTAGAGGACCAAGAAGATGCCGATAGTATCGTACCCAGCGACAGCATCAGCTGCGTGGGGACTCGCAGGAGCGGTCGAGCATACTACAATTAAGCCGCGCGCCGGCAGGTGGGTTCACAATGGACAACCTAAGCATAGAAGAATGTCATAAGAGTCGACTTGCGCCGCATAGGGAGCATATCCTGAAAATAAGTAAAAAAAAAAAAAGTTTCTGTGTTCAACTTGCATCGGTCATCTTCTGCGGCCTTACGTCTATGGATGCCCAAGATGTAGGGCATGTGAGATAATGGTATGGCGATAGGCAGACCATGGCCAGTCATGCTCGTAATGGACAAAAGGGCGGGCGAACCAGCACTGCGACAAATCGTAGGGAACTAGTGCTATCCGTGATATGTAAAACATAGAAAGGCTATTACCGTTGTCCAGAAACGAGTTGGCTAGAATATTATATTTATATCCAGTCCTGCTCGATGTACCTTTGTTTCATCATGGGAGCGCCTCGCGTTTGACGGGCGGTTGGAAGTCGGCTGGTCGGCAGGCAACGGCCGGCAGGGGCAGAACAGAAAGATACTCCCTCATCTTCTTTGCACCTTCCGTCACCGATCTACGGCGTCAATGTGTAGGTCACAGTAGGCGTTCGGGCGGGGCGTGGACCCATCTTCTATGGGGTGGAGACTGTGGAGATTCCGTCATGTCGGTTTCGCGCCGCGGCCCGGGTACCTAAGTACCTACATTGACCTTGTAGGCGGAGGGTATGAACGTATGCTGCATGATATAACAATGCAGCGTTATGGATAATAAGAATCTCCTGCAGAGCAAGGTGTATCCGGTAGAGAAGGGGAGACTTGCGAAATGTAGTTTAGGCTGTGAGAAGGACCAGTCTATCAAGGAAATGTCAATTGCGACCGTCTCTGCCAGAAACATTCTTCACATGATTTACACAGTACTGGCAGTAGAGAGAGTACATACTAAGAACGATCGTCACCGCTAGCTTAGATCTAACTCCGTGATTGATTGGATACGACAACAAGTACAGATACTTGAAAGCCTCCGATACTCGGCATCGACGAGTCACTCCTTAGCGACCAAATTCCATCTCAGATCTCGCTCACTTGGCTCACTTGGTTGCTCACTCGACATCTCCCTTTACTCATTCCCTTGCTCAGAACTAATAGGGAGGTAGAGATAAGTTAGGTCAAATTATCAAGGACACACCTAGTTTTATGTTAGCCATGTTCTTGGGGCTTGCCCTTGCCTCACTATCTTTAAGCGGTAATTGTGACCCAGCTAACGGAAAGACAGCATCTATTAGGCCAGGAACCAATAGGGAAGGTCCTCACACCAGCGCGAAGCAAAAGTATAACATTCACGCAGCATCACCACTCATCTAACTACTTATCCGCACTCATCTGGCACTCAGTTACGTACACCATGCCTCCCTTCGAGCTTGGGGACTCTATACCCTCGGAGACCGCTCATGTATGCACCCATTCCCCAGCACATACAGTTACCACCATTACAATACCTCGTTCTGACCTCAAGTTGCTGTCTCTAGGCCGTGAGCGTCTCACTCCCAACCTGGAGTGCCAATGTTGGCTATGAGGAGGGCCAGGATTGGGTGGTGAAACGCATGGCAACGGGGTATCCTCGGTATGTGGGCACCTGTCCTCCAGACATCATGATCACTACAGTCGGAGTATCTCGATCAGCACTACAGTTGTACTGACCGACCTGTGTCAGCTTCTTCATCCATCGGACCATTCAGGCCTTTGCTGCTGACATTGTGGCCACGCATGTCAGTACCAAGGCCAAGCGAACTAGTGATATCACAGCCATGCTTTTCCCGACGCCGACCATTGCCTCTCGCTGCGTTGATTTCATCCGCTCGCGGGCACCTGTTGATGTCTGCAGCAACATTGAGGTCGTCAACCTCGTTCTTGATATGTCAGATCCCGAGGCGCGTGCCCTGGAGCCCCTTTGTCCATCCATCTCTGCTGTCATCATGCCACAGGACGGCTTTCCATTCGCAAAGCAGTACTGGCAGCATAGTGGAGATGGCGTTTCTAGCCGTCGGGCTGAGTTCTGCCACGGTTTGTTCAAAGACGGCTTGCTGCGTCCTGATATCGAACTCCGTAATGCGGCTGTCTCTGCAGCAAAGCCGTGTCGCGGTCCCAAGCGCTATCAGCGGCAGGCTTCGCTTGACGCTGGAGGAAACCAACAAACGATAATGCACGGCCATGTCCACAGGGCTACCGGAGAGACTGCGATGATCCAAGAGACTTCCCGTTTTCTAGAAGAGCGTTTCGGCAGAAACCTCGACCTCTCCTTTGTCCATCCCGCCAAGTCTGCCATCAAGAGACGAATTGCCGGAGCACTGCGGAGTGCCGACCATGACCTTGGCGGTTCCCCTTCGCTATCAGAAAAGCAGATGAGTTCCAACACCCGCGGCATCGCCAATCTTCGCGAGGAAGACATCTATCTCTTCCCATGCGGAATGAACGCCATTTTTCATGCCCACAGAGCGCTGTATTCCATTCGAACCCCGCCGGGCAGCACGCCGCTAAAGAGCGTCAACTTTGGCTTCCCTTACGTCGATACGCTCAAGATTCTGGAGAAGTTCAACCCTTCTGGTGCGTTATTCTACGGCCACGGGTCCAAGTCCGACCTCGACGACTTGGAGACTCGACTCGAGTCCGGAGAGCGGTATCTCGCTCTTTTCTGTGAATTTCCGGGCAACCCCTTACTCACTTGTCCCGACCTGGTCCGTATTCGGGAGCTGGCGGACAAGTACGAGTTTGCCGTTGTTGTAGACGAGACTATTGGCACTTTTGCGAATGTGAATGTCCTCCAGTTCGCGGACATTGTTGTCAGCAGTCTCACAAAGATTTTTAGCGGCGACTGCAACGTCATGGGTGGCGGTGCTATATTTAACCCTAATTCACGATACTATTCAGCCCTGAAATCCTTCGTCCAGCAACAATTGGAGGACACATACTGGCCCGAGGATGTCATCTTCATGGAGCGCAACAGCAGAGACTTCGTCGCGCGCATAGACCGAGTCAATGCAAATGCCGAAGCCATTTGCCGCGTCCTCAAAGATCATCCGCTCGTCAAGACTCTCTACTACCCCAAGTACAACGATTCACGGGCCAACTATGAAGCGGTCAAGCTGCCACAAGGAGGCTACGGTGGCCTTATCTCAGTGGTCCTCAAAGGGAAGAAGCAGGCTGTGGCCTTTTACGATGCGATCGAAACGGCCAAGGGTCCGAGCTTGGGAACCAACTTCACATTGACTTCGCCCTATGTGCTCCTGGCGCATTATCAGGAGCTTGACTGGGCTGAGCAGTATGGTGTTGACAGGAATTTGATACGGATCAGTGTCGGGCTGGAGGGAACAGATGAGCTTATCAATGTGTTTACCAGAGCACTGAAAGTTGCCGAGGAACAATCTCAATATCCTTGAAAGTAAGGATAGGTAGCGAATGCTTACAGATGTAAACATGTCCAGCTGGGTCTCTGGTAGGAAGAGGAGTGAAATGATACAACCATTGTGTTCTCTTCGCATGTCACACATTTGTCCTTTGCCGCTAACACATACCTACACTTTGGCAACTATATACTACTCGACTGGGTCCCATCTGCCTAGGGAATCGGATCTTAACCTGCTGAACATCAGCCGAGAATTTCCCACATCCATGTAAGGCTGAGTCGGGCTTCACACAATTGAAATCAGATACAATCAAAGCAAGCCACCCTGTAACCCAGTAAAGCAAACCGAGCACTACAACAACGCAATCTTGAGGTCAGATTTGATTTATTTAATTTGCGTGTCTGTTTTGTTAGAGGCATAAGGTTTCTGCAGTGATATAACTCTTCGATATATACACGATGATTTTGGCTGTAGGCTGTCGGGTGTAAATATTATAAAACTAATCATAGAAATTTCCTATATCGGTAGAGAAACCGTGATACTCTGGAGTATGGTGAGGAATCGTGGTTTTATTTTACCCTGTTTATGTGGCAGGAAAAGATCATGATCCGAAGCTAATCTACGTAACAATTCAATTACACCCCCAACAACGTAAATCTGACTTCAAGATAGCCCAAAATAATTCAAATCAGACCCAGATTTGGATTGATTTGCTTTGTGTGAAGCGCTGACTGGCCGACCAAGTTCCCACGTGTATCACGTCCAAATCATCATCAATAGTAAAGTAGAAACACAGAATGGCCCAACTCGAAGGAATTTCAACATGATTGAGATTCAATGATAAGGGGTATCCCGTAAAGGCAAGATAGCCAGCCAGGCAGATAAGGTACACCGTCTACATCACGATGCATGGCCCATCGTTTGTATCAACGTAGGCCTCGCCCAACAATTCCCTGCGTCTCTCTAGTTCGTTGTAACGCTGTTTTTCTTTTGTTTCCTTAGGAAACCACTTCTCCATATAGGACATCAATTTCCAGTCGATGTGGGCTGTAGTTGGCAAAGGCGACGCATGTTAGCTATACGTGCTCAATACTGCTTATCGAGCCATGTTGGAATTCATCATTACCTTCAGTCGCAGATAGCACGGTTTTGGCCCGACAGAGGGGGCACAGCTCTTTTTCCCGGGTTTGCATCTTGATCATGCACCGGATGCAAAACATGTGGTCACAGTCCAGTCGCACGGGGAGCCAGCAGATCGAGTAACCTACAACATCCATCATTATCAGCTTGGATATACCACCACGCAAGGCTGTGGGGGTGGGCGGGGTCTAAATTTTGACGTAGACCTGCCGGCATGCGTACAGATTGTGCATGTGTAATCCACAATTTGGGGAACACGGCTGAGCACTTCGCAAGCCATCTGTGAGCAGATGTCTTTGGCAATACTCCCAACGATGAAGGGGGCAGAGCTCATGGCTTTTGGGAACTCTGCCTTCACACCCAATGACGTCTGTTTATCGAATTCTGCTGAACAGTTAGCATATGGTCATGTCATAATCCTGTACGCTTACAATGACCTCCTCTTGATCATAACACGCAAGCTATTTTCTCGCTGATACCCTTCCTCACGCTCGCTCTTCTCTATTTCTTCTTTCTGCCCCGCATCTTCGTCTTGCCCTTTTGTCTTGTCATCCACTACTCCGTTCTGGGCTGGACTCACTCTTGATGATTTTGGTAACCGCTGTTCGGTTAAGCTCTTGGAACTTGAAATTTTTCAGGAGGGTTGCGTTGAGTTCGAGGAAATGTGTGTAAGCTTCCGCGCTAGCCTTGAGTTTGAATTTTTGTAAAAGCTGTCGTTTGTTGACCTCATCCTGGAACCAAACAAGCTGCTTCCGCGCCTTCTCACTATCACGCGGACCCGTGGCTGTCTCGGCAGTCGAGAAGAATACCTGGGCGGCCAGGTAGAGTTCAAAAATCTCACGCCAACGGTAGAGGTCAGATTTTGCTATATGAATGACTCCCTTGCGGGGCCGAGCCAGACGTGCAATCTCATCGCCAAGCAGCTGTATACCGTCATTCATAGATTGACGCTCTTGGGTTTGCAGCGAGTCTAGCTCGACCACATCTGTTTGTAGGATGTTGAAGAACTTTGCGTCTGAGTCCAGAGGAATATCAACCCATCCAGCATCCTGGGCTTGCGCCAGACTCGGGGGTGACAAGGTGGGATTTCCCAGCAGTACAGACGACGACTTGGGAGGTGCGCTGGCGGGCGTGCTGAGCTCTCCTCCCGTGAGGAGCTTCGGAACCGTATCGGATCGTAGACAAATGGTACTGGCCGAGGGGCGGACTACCAGTTTGGGGCGGAGGATGTGGGAATTCTCTACCCTTAGCCTGTACTCTGCGTTGTGATCGGCCAAGAGCCTGTGAAGAGTATCGGGGTCATAGCCGTTGCGAGTAAGTTCTTCTCGCACCTTGCCCAGGAGCTTCTTGAGCTGACCGTACGGAATGGCTTTGTCTACCCAATGCTGAGGGTAGCTCTCCCCTTGCAGGGCCTCCTTGAACGAGTGACCGAATTTCATTGTAGCGACATGGCCATGCAAAAGTCCTGGTATTCGTTCGGAGGCGTGGTCATGGCGAGTAACTGTAGGATTGGGGAAGAACGAGGGGCAATTTGGCGAGTCGCGCGGTGCGACAGCGATGACTACTAGGTTTGGGTCTAGGTCGGGTCGTGAATCGGCAATAGCTGAAGAGAGGAAACTCGGAATCTCGTTGGAATCGAGTCGGGACGTTGACACGCGCGGACGGTTTGGTGTCGTTGAAATCACTCAACTAAATGTGCACCAGTAATGTTAGACATGAGTGTGTGTCTGTTTGCTCTTTTGAAGGCAATGGCAATGAATGGCCTGTTTGTTGGTCGCACATGGCCACCCATCCTCAGCCAATGTGGCACTTAGTATAAAGGTGGAGGAAGAGCTGCACTGCACTAGACTTACGTACTCGAATGGACGGTCGCTTCTTGGTACAGGTACACCTCCAAGCAACGAAGTGACCGGCGATGGCGACGACGATTGAGGCGCGCAGGTACTAGGTGATTATATCCCTGGTGCTGCTGTGTGCGCGCCGAGGCCAGTCGATATATTCAAATCTGCGAAAGCACACCGTCTTCTCTTACCATGCCATCTACCTCTTGTTCCGTCGACACGGTTCTACTACCTATGTTCCTCCGCCTCCCCCGAACCCTCTACACGACGAAGGTGGTGGCCATGTGATGGTTCATGTAAGTGGAGAAGGCGAGGGCTGCTTCCAATTGGAAGGGCCGATTCTGTTAAGTATTCTAGGCAACTCGAGTGGAAGGTCTGGGCCAGCAGAGTAGGTATTTAGTTACCTACCTACCGCCTAGTCCCGCGTTGACAGACAGAAACTAGGGGTGGACTGTACACTATATACCTACTCGTCAGGGCTCGAATCGCCTACCTTGAGGTTCCCAACGGCGAGTATGCTGCAGCCCGCCCCACCTCAACTTGGTTGCACCCACCGCCCGACCCGCCTCAGCATCATTTTTTCTTAGTAGCGCCGCCATCACAAAAGCACAGATGTGCTGTGTACTTATACTAGCAATGCTTTTTCTGCCGATTCTTTCTCTCTCCATCATCCTCATAGAACGCCATCTGCTCACAACCGTACCCACGTGACTCATTGCGCCAGCAAGCTAAGATTCCCATATGGGTGCCGAGCAATCAGCCCCGCGGTCCGGCGGACAGACCTCTGCTGCCGTACTAGAGCGCAAGACATGCTATTATGAGGTTCTGGGGGTAGATCGCCAGGCTGCCGATACCGAGTGAGCTCATTTCCATCTCAGACGTTGCAAGTTCGCATACGGTACTGACGAGTTCAGGTAGGATTCGAAAGGCATACAAAAAGAAGGCCCTCGAGCTGCATCCTGACCGCAACTTCAATGATGAAGAGAATGCGACCAGGAAGTTCGCCGAAGTACAGACGGCCTACGAGATCCTGTCGGATCCTCAGGAGCGCGCCTGGTACGATTCCCATCGTGAGGCCATCCTCACAGGCCAGACAGATGTCTCTGGCGCTGAGCCATCTGGCCATGATGGAACTAGCTACACCTCCGCAACAGCCATCTTTACGCTGATGGGCCGCTTCAACTCGAGTGTGCACATGGACGACAGCCCTAATGGTTTTTTTGGTATTCTTAACTCGTTTTTTGACCAACTCGCGGCCGAAGAAACCGCAGCGGCAGATTGGGAAGGCATCGTGCCCGTAGAATATCCAGCTTTTGGCCGGGCCGGCGACGACTACGATTCCGTCGCGAAGCCATTCTACAAGATCTGGTCAGGCTTCTCTACCAAAAAGACGTTCAGCTGGAAGGACAAATATCGCCTTAGCGATGCCCCTGACCGTAGAGTCCGTAGACTCATGGAAAAGGAAAACCGCAAATTTCGTGAAGAGGGCATCCGCGAATTCAATGATGCCGTCTTGTCCCTCGTGTCGTTTGTCAGGAAACGTGACCCTCGTTATATTCCAAACACGCAATCCGAGTCTGAACGGCAACAGATCCTACGGACTTCCGCCGCTGCTCAGGCGGCCCGATCACGAGCCGCCAATCAGGAGAAGCTGGCCGAGTACGTGGTGCCTGACTGGGCTCAGGCGCGGGATGATGAAGAGCAGCCGCTTAGCGAGTTCTCTCTCACTTCTGAGGAGGAGTCCGAAGTTGAGGTCCTCGAATGCGTTGTCTGCAACAAGACATTCAAGAGTGAAAAGCAATTGGAGGCGCACGAGAAAAGCAAGAAACACGTCAAAGCCGTTCAGCAACTGCAAAGGCAGATGAAAAAGGAAAACGCCGATTTCCACCTGGGTGTAGAGAGTCTTGCTATTTCGACGCCCTCACCTCAGCCGCAAATTCCCCGAAAGACCAATCTGGACGGTAGTGATGATACCGCAAAATCCCCCTTGAGCGTTTTAGGTGGCAATTCACAAAGTCACGAGGACATCTACCAAAGCGCAGAAACGCGAGAGGAGCAGGGCCGAAGTGCAGCGGATGACTCGAGTACGGAAGATGACGAGTATGCACCTCGATCAACAGTCGAAAATCGATTCACTGCTGGAACTGCCTTTAGAGAACCACGGCCCGACAGTCTGGCCACTAATGAAGGCGTCGACTCTCTGACTAACAACATTCTCGGCCTGGAAGTTGGTGGGACGGAGTCTGGCGTTGCTGGTAAGAAGTTGGGTAAAGCGAAACTAAAACGCGAGAAGAAGGCTGCGCGGCAAGCCGCTGAAGCAGGTGAACAAGGCACTGTAAGTTGTAACTCACCTACACTTTGAAGAAATCGCGCGTATATTATATTGCGTATATCGCATAACACTCGACTAATAGGAAGTAATAGCACCTTTGCGCCTTCTGCAAAGAAACCTTCTCATCTCGGACTAAGTTATTCGCGCACATCAAGGAACAAAATCATGCGGCCCCTGCACCTAAATCCACAAAGGGTGATAGAAAAGCGAGACGGTAGATCGTCTTGTGTACTTCCGTCACACCAGACGATCATAACACGCGCCCAAGACTTTGTACAATATAGCGTCGGTACCGCCACCTACCGTGTGTGCCTCAACGTCTCTTTTCGTCGGTCTCGTACTGGCTTGAAGTTGAGTAGTAGAAGCGAGGCTCCGAATACATCATGCCCCGTTTCTTGAGTCATTATGCTCCCAAAGCGGGTTCTCCATCATCATCACTCTCTAGAGTTTCTACTTCATCAATGGCTTCGGCACGCCCTCCACCCTGCCCCCTGGCAGGGTCGTACGGGGAAACACTGATGATGGACTTGCCCTGAACATGCTTCACGGAGCTTTTCCACGTGTCCCAATCGTCCTCATCCTTGATGAGAAACCCGATAAGCATACTAGGATCCATGTCGCCAATATGAAGCTGTCGCAGCCGTCGAGTATGACACGTATCCAGTTCTTCTACCGTATATCCTCTCGGATCTTCGCGATAAGGAAGTGCAGGCCGTGGGTGATGAGGATCCAAGTAGAAGAGCCGTTGGCCTTGGACGCCGACAAAATAAAGGGACGAGGAAGGACGACCGCTAATGTTCACGTTAGGATGAGTAAATGCATAGTGCCAGGTCACATATTTGGGTTCAAAGACTTACCCGGCTATACCTATTGACTGGGGTAACTGCAGAGTTGAGATGAGGGCCTCTTCGTATACTTGGTTGATTTTGTCAATGCCAAGTCTTGTGCATACGAGAATCAGTGTTGGCTGGAAGCCGCGCCCATCCGGATTCGCAACCGCCATAAAGCTGTCTTCGTAAACATCCGGTAGGTCACCGGTTGAGTATACCCGCAAGCCCGACTGCTTCTCGTCCGCCAATGCCCTGCACATTGTAAGCCATACTGTCACACTACTCACTCTCTTTGTCTTCACGAGTCAAGGAGGCTTCTTTTGTTTGCCCGGAGGACCATAACCTACTGTATGCATCGTGCAGTGGCCGACGGACCAAACCATTCACCCGGGTATTTGCCACACGCCGTGGCACCGTATTTGACAAAGTTGTGTAGGGAATATGGGGCGCGAGGGTCGTCTGCAAAAAGGGCAATGATGTCCTTTTCCGCATCTAAGTCTGTACCTCGCCTCCATTCTATACCAGTGCTATTAGTTGTCACGCTTGTTGTTTATTTTTGTTGTTGCGAGCAAGCATGTCGAAAAGAGCAACTTACCACGGCCAAGGCGAGCAATAAGTATAGCGTTTGCTAGGAGGCTCTGACCTGACCTTATCATGCACCCCCAGCCCGTATCGGACGAGAAGCCCGTCAAGTCCGAAAAGGTAGTCTTTATCCGCATCGCGAAGGACAGGGCAGAAGACGCTTGGGGGTCGCTCGATCTCGGAATGAATGCAAAGTCAGTGCGGTACGTCATCCATATACGAGACTCGAAGTCGTCGAGAAAGGCAGGCGGCCATCCACCATCTTGCCCAGGCTCTTCGTATGCTAAAGCCGAATCATAACCACTCGTTACAGAACCTGGGGCCGTGTCGAAGGATCCCAGCTGGGAACCTGCCGGTGCTGCAGACATTGAGGTGTCCGATAGACAAGTTGCCGTGGCAATGGTCCGGACGCCATTAAAGTCTTGGTGCTGATGCGTGGCGGCAAGCTGTGACTTATCCAAGGGTGGTGTGTCTGCTGTAAGCTGGGATAGCGACGACGATGACAAGGGCGAGCCGTACTGCTTGATGTCAAGCGTGTACGAACAGCCGAGACACCACACGGGCTCATTGATAGTGCGATTGTTGACAGGCTCCCAGTCCCATATCCGGTAGAGGAAGCGGCGGCCTACACGTCCAACTTCGGCAGCGCCGGCTCTGGCAGCCTCCATTGCGTTAACCAGCTTCGGAGATGTATTGGACACTGTCTCTTGCCAGCCAGTGCTGCCGGTGCCGCTCGGTCGCGAGGAAGTCATGAATGCGTCCCCTGGGTGCCCAGAGGCGAGGTGGGCTTGACGGATAGAAGTGGATGCCGGCAAAATTCCAACTTAAGCCAGACACGCAACGCGTCCTGATGAACAGAATAGCTGAGGATCGCTAGACGACGAGATCAAACTAAAGATGCGGGTATCGGCTTCGGATATGGCGATGGTGGGGATGAGAAGGTGGCGGGGGTGATGACTGCTGTTAAGTTCTCGTATGTGCGGATGGCATCCAAGTTTGGAGGCCGGGAGAGAAGACGGAAGCCGCGTTGTGATGCTAAATGGAAGGTTTGTATGTCGTCTGTAAACTGCCCCAGCCTGCCAATGAAAGAGTGCACTGGCGCAAAGAGTTGGAGGATTCAGGCATATGAGCCTTAGGTAGAGGGAGGGCGGCAAGGTAGGTAGGTAGGTAGGTAATTAGGTACTACTACGTCTAGGTAGGTAGATACAAGTGTAAATCAACCTCCCTCCCATAACAATTTATGTAGGCAAACAGGTGGTTCCCATTGTTTGAGTGTTCAGCTGCGATGAGCGGCGCGGGGGGAGGGGGGGGTGCGAGGTGAGATAACGATGTCATCTGAGTCCTCCCGTTGATAGAACTATGGACCCGAAGCCTATAAGTTTCCTACCCGTATGGTTGCTTTCTCCCCTTCACCAAAAGCAGGTTCACCCACGTAGGTACTACCTTTACAAACAAACGCCGTGCTTGCTGCCCACTTGACTGCCCCTGGTTATAGGGCGTTACATACTGTAAGACCCCTTTTGCGCGCACGACGACGTCCATCTGATTAGCCTACCTAGAGGTACCTACATACCTACTTCGCTACCTACCTACGCCCAGTGGCCCAGGAGCACTGTTTCCGGAAACGGAAAGCAGTTTTGGCTACGTCGACACGGCAAACGAGATTTTCCTCCACCGCGCCGGAAAATCATGACAGGTACCAGTCTTTCTCCAGGCTACTGCTTAATATCCAATTTGCCACAGCCACAGGTTCGAGTATAGACCTCCCTTTATGCTGCTCCTTATTCGTCTCCGCCAGCCTCCATTTCCAAAGGTGAACGTCTTGGACCGGCATTGACCCAGACACAGCATCATCATCTACGCCCGCTATGGCGCCTAAGAAGGGTAAACGGCCACATGCGGGACCCAAAACTGCCCGTATGCGAGCTACAACAGCACAGAAAACCATACGAAGCGCTGCAACCGCAGAAACTTTGAACACCGGGACAGCCGCGAGCACCCATGGTAGAATTCCCTTCTTCCACTTTCATGCAGTCGCCCATCTGACACCTACCGTAGGGTTCACCATGCGAGATGAGGCTAGAAACACGACATCCCATCAACTACTTTTGGGTACGAGTCTCAGGACGAAGCCTGTCCAGTTTGTGAGTGCCGGCTACATCGAGCCGCTCAAGCAGCCTGAGTTGTTACCTCCTGCATTCCCAACCTTGGTTGGGGTGGATACCGCAGAGGAGATTCAGCTTCAGCTCAATGAGATTCAGGAAGCTACGGTTGAAGCCGTTGGAGAAAACTCAAAGCCGCTGGGCATCGATGTACAACAGTCCGAGCCCAGCCGCAACGATAGCACTCACGACGAAACCGACCCGGTTGCGAAGACGGACGGGAATGTTGAAGCTACCGAGCAGCTCTTCTTTTTCGACGTAGCTCGGGACGAAACTGTGGTTGGCACAGATCAACCGCCCGTGCCGATTCCAAATCGCCAGTCGCTTGCTGATCATTCCGACTCGAGTGAGGAGATTATTCTCTTCAGAGGCAGAACCACGCATGTCCAACCTACAGTCCAGCCGGTATGCGAGCCAAGAAACCATGCTACCAACATGACTCGTCAACCCATGGTTGGCAGTACCGGAACTGCTGCAGCCTCCACGAGTACGAAGGTGGTCATTGCAGCCAGGCCTACTTCTGCGCAAGGAGGCAGGCCCACGTCCGCATTTAAACGAAAGAGCCCCAGGCGGGACTCGAAGCGAGATTCGAAGCGGGAGCAGAAATACATGGAGGATGATGACGAGGATGAAATCCTGGCTGACTATATCGCCAATCTTGCGGACGACTCCGATGGAGATGACATACTCACTAGCCACCTCAGGACTTTCGCCAACCGCAGGGACCTAGGTGGAAATGAGAACTCTGTCAACTTTGGGGACGAATCGGATGACATGGATGCCATGTCTGAGACAGGCGGTAGCAACGCCAGCGACGACAGTGATGAAAACGAGCAACTGGATATTGATGAAGAAGACATCGACGACGAGACACTTGCTCGTCTCTTCGCTAAACAAGAGGAACTGGGCATGGGAAGCAACGAACTGGTCTTGTTCTCAGAGGAGGCGGCTTTCAACGTCCAAAAGGCCAAGAATAAAAAGCGTGCAGGCCGAACCGAAGGGTTTCCCAGTGCCACTGCAGTGGCGGATGCATTTGACGGTCTCGAGTTGACTGATGGATGGGTCAACCCCGGGTTTATCCCACCAGGACGGAATCGGCGCAATAAACAACCTCCCAACTTCAATGTGTCAGACTCTGAGATTGAACTGGTTTTGAAGACTGCATGGCAGAAAGACAGAGAGAGGAAAAAGCAGCGCAAGCTCGAGCGGGAGGAATTGCGTGCCCAAGGCCTTTTGGGTAAACGTGCGAACCCAGACGACTTGCGCGTCAAGTATCTCACTGGGATGACACTTGACGACATCAAAACTGAGCTTGTGGCATTTCTCCTCACCACAGAAGAAAGGTATGCAGTTCGGAACGGTTCATCTATCATCTTCATTCCGCCCTCCCTTATAAGCCTCGCGTGCAGTTCAACTAACATGACTCCTGCTTTTCCAGTCTCCAGTTTCCCCCAATGGATAAACAGGCTCGCAAGGTTCTTCACGAATTGGCCAACAAGTTCAAAATCAAATCTCAGTCAACGGGAAAGGGAGACCAGCGCCGTCCAATTCTATACCGCACGAAAGCCACCCTGAGATACAAAGGACACCGAAGTGAAGAAGTGGTCACTCATGTTGACCAGGAAGCGGTACGAATTAAGCGGAAGTACTTCCACCGACTTGATGCGAAGGGCAAACCCTCGTACAAAACCCCGTCTGGTGGCGGCGGTGGACGTTCCGGTCACCAAGCCGTCACAGTACGTGAAGGTGAAATTGTGGGAGCCTCAGCCCCGGAATTAGGCCAGGAGAATAAGGGCCGCGCCATGCTGGAAAAGATGGGATGGAGTAAGGGGATGGGTCTCGGTAGCTTGGATAACAAGGGAATTCTGGAACCTGTGAAGCAGGTTGTCAAGCGATCCAAGGCAGGTCTTGGATAAGATGCTGGGTACCAACTTGTGAGCAGGAATGCCTGGGCTGAACGACCTCGAGGTGTACCGCGGCAAAGATGTGTAAGTATCAATATTCAACGGGATCCAGATCCTCCACTGTGCATACATATCACCTGGCATGGTCTACGCTTGTACACAGGAAGGGCGAAAATGTGAAAAAAGGGAACCAAAAATGCCAAAGAACAGGAAATCAAAGGGGGGTTCTTTTCTGGTGCAAGCAGTGACTGGTTATAACTAGCTCTCCCATCACGACGTCGAGATGCATATGCCGGAAACAGACTGTCGACGTTAGGTCTTTACCTCCTGCATCACACCTCTCTCCTGCGTAGCCCGTTACATAACATAGAGCATAAACGCTCGGTCCGGTGCTCCAACCGCACCCCCCCTCTCTTTTTGCCTCAACGATCACCATAGGCAACAGTGACTCGTCCACGAGAAACGACTATTCCTTCGCTAAATCGGCCCAGCTCCGAACCCTCTCTTTGTGAGGCCAAACCATGAGCTTGACTAGTTCAGACGAACGTACTCCAGTCACTAACCATGCCCAGTGACATCGGGCCAAACTCCATTTCAGAGTTTCAAAGCCGCGATGGTGCCCTTAGGGTCATGGCAGTTATGGTTGGTTTCGTCGGTCAAAACAGAGCCATGCCGTTGAGGGCACTTGCTGGATGTTCATTTTTTTTTTTTTTTTGTTTCCCCGTGTCGTTGGAGCGAAGGCGCCGTCACTAATCAAACTGAACACGCTACGTTCTTTGATCATGTGCACGATTTCATTTCGTCCGAAACCCTGATGTCAAGGTATGTTATTGTACAATCGCAAGAACCCCATAAGCCGTGAGAAGACATTGCCCCCAAAGATAATAAAAAAAAGCAGACCATCCGTAACGCATTGCAATTAGAAGAGACGCCAAGCGGATTGTGTTGGAACCTCTGGCCAAAAGTCTCCTCGTAAGTGACACCCAAATGCCAACAAATCCTAATGCCCTAGACAGAAAATGAGAGGAAAGACACGAAACACCCCGTCACAGAACACTTATTTCGTGCTGGAAGAGTACTTGGTAACGGCCTTGGTGCCTTCCGATACAGCGTGCTTGGCAAGCTCGCCGGGGAGGATGAGGCGAACACTAGGTGTTATGTTAGAAGATGCGCAGCCCCCCCTTTTTTTTGGATAAGAACGGAAGACATACGAGGTCTGGATCTCACGAGAGGAGATGGTGGACTTCTTGTTGTAGGCAGCGAGCTTGGAAGCCTCGGTGGCAACGCGCTCGAAAATATCTGGTCATGTCAGAGACCTGTACTGGATCGTTGATACGTGGAGGTTTGGTCTTACCGTTGACAAACGAATTCAGGATAGACATGGCGCGGTTGGAAATACCGGTATCAGGGTGGACCTGCTTGAGGACTAAATTTGAGTGTTAGCCGAGAACGCTACAAACTCTGAAGGGCCTTGACACGTCACAGATTGCATTTCGCAATGCGATCCCATGCTTCGCGCTGGATATAATAAGGGAAAAAGTGTATATGGCAACTCACCCTTGTAGATGTAGGAGGAGTAGGTCTCCTTGCGGGCCTTGGTGCGCTTCTTCTTGTCGCCAGAGGCGGCAGTCTTCTTTCCGGCATCCTTCTTCTCGGGGGCCTTGGAGGCAGTAGCGGGGGCCTTGGAGGCAGGCTTCTTGTCGGCGGGCTTGGGAGGCATTTTGGTGATTTCGATAGTTCGAGAATTAAAATTCAACAGATGGAGATGCGTAAACGGGCGTTTTTGCTTCGGTCGTGAATGGTCGCGGACAAAAGTCGAGAGAAGTGGTTGTTGGAAGGAGAAAATTGAGGTCGGCGAGGGGGGATGTGCCTTTTTGTAGCTGGACGCGCCGGGCGCTGGCACGGACTGATTGACTGATTGAGCTGGGCAGTGCGCGAAAAGTGGAGTAAGATACCTACCTGATTTGGTAGAAAAAAAAAGTCCCCAACCTACACTAAGTACCTATGTACAAAGCCAGGTGCACAACCACTGAAGCACTTGGTGCTTGGCATTTCCAGGCCCATGCCACGTTGGCTCGTGCGCTACGACAGCCCACCTGGAAGGGGCCATCATAGGGAATTTGAGAATCGATACAGGAACTCGCAACGGTACATGCATGCATGTCGCTGTCCAAAAACCCGCAAGGTCCCCCGGGCTCTGCCGCCGCGTTTTGGAGTCCGTGGCCCTACACTACCAAAGAACCCGGCTTGAACCGCGACCCCCGACCCACTGGCCCGCCCCTTTCAACAACAACAAGCTCCAGGAAACGAATGGGAGTCGCTGCTCAATTTTCCTGTGGTTGGTAATGATATATGAGCAGTTTAGAATCTGCACATGGTAAGGACACGAACAGGCTTGTTCCTCACGTTATCGGGGAACATTGGCTGGGCGCGCGATCCCAATCTGTCCGTGATTATCACGTTCCGCTGGCTGTTGATAACGACGGGACTGCCCTGGTCGGATGTCTCTTGTGGGGGGGAACAGGAGTGAGGAGACACCACTTTAAGAATCCTGTCCAGTCCCGGGCAGAGTACCCATCTCGGTACCCATGGAGCTGGCGTACGTAATCAGAGGCTATAGGGCAGAATGCACGCCAAAATCTCTAGCAACACCATCCCCATTCAATTTCTCAATACTACGCCACGGGCGCACGACATGATTGGTTCCAGTAATCCCAACTCCATGTTGTCCAAAGTCCGCGACAGGGCGAGGAGGCAGACTGAACCCCAGTGGCACATGACAAGTGCGGAGGAAGCTGGATTCGAACATCCGGGGAAAGTGCCGATTCTTCGGGTAGGGCTTAGATGGGGACACAGGATCCGCCTGATCGCTGATGGGATCTGGGTGTGCATTGCCAAGTGCATGTCACTCACCACTGGTGAGCAAGGTTTGGGGTTTTAATGATATGTCACGAAGGTTTTGAAGCACATTGCACACGTGGGGAAGACTACACAGCTCGAAACCACAGGTTTGTAAAGATGGGTAAGAGCGAACTTGATCCACATATTTGCGAACTGGAATGTCTCATGAGCGAAAGAACACGATAAAGATCCTGGTAGATGAGCTGCATTCCGTTATCAATCACACTTACTTACCTCCCCTAGACAACAGAAATGCAGCAGATTTGGCATGGCCCAAGGTTCACTACAAATTTCGAATCTGAGCCTCAGATTTTTTTTTCTCCTTCAGAAATGAGGCGACTTCCGAGTCGGATCGTGGTCTCTGATGTCCGTAAAAGAAGGGAAGGGCGAGTTCCGCTCGATACATCAACCAGTCAATCAATGCGGTCATTGCACGAGAGTCAGCTTCGCTGGCTGCACTTCAGATGAAATTTCGACGAAGAAGGGCAAAGCCGCTACCAGGTGTCCAAGATCAGCCAATTGACAGGTAAGGTCAGTAATAGTGAGAACCTTCCAGGATCGTAATTGGTGTTAAAGGTGTAGCAGAGGACCTGACTCGTTTGTGGCTAGGAGATCGCGATAGGGAAAATTCTGTGTTGCCGCCCCCCACAGAATATACCAAGACCAAGACACAAATGGCCACGAATGGCATATAGACTTGCGATGCCAATCAGCCAACATGTCTTGTTGCCCCTTCTATGCGCCTCGGTGGGGGTAAGGAAAGGACCGTAGTGGAGGGGAAAATAGAGAGAAAAAAGAATTGCAAGATGAAACTCGAATAAAATAAATAATTGATAAAAAGGGCCTCGGCGGAAATAGCTCGTACTGGGCATAGGAATATTGCAGTTGGCTGATTTGGATTTGACGATTTGGTGGCCACGGCAATTCGTCAGTCGCATGTTTGGTGAGTGTTAAGATGGTTGGCGAATGTCGCGTGCAAGGGCATAGAAAGGGAAACTGATGAAAGCCCTGACTTGTTGGGCGGGCTTCCCTTAATATTTGTAAAATCAGGGTAGCTCCATTAGTGCTGTAATTTGGAGCTTTTGATTGTCGTCAGCAAGACTCCACTTCTGTGTCTGACCAATGGACGGTCCAAGCCAATTTTTGCTTACTACCCACAATCGCGTCGTGCAGCCCCATTTTGGGATTAGCCCCAACGCCTCGATCAACAACCTCCGGAAGGCGTGGCTGATCCGTGTTTGCAGCGCCCTGACGCGAAAACTACTTAATATGCACATCCCCCGCCAGCCCTCGTTCTCTTCCACCCCAACTACACTTCCCAACAACCAACTTCTGCTTTCTACGTCAACCGAAACGACGCGACTTCCGAGTCTTACCGCTCCAACGAACACCCATTTTTTCAACCACACCCAATCAAACTATCAAAATGACTGGAGGCGGCAAGTCCGGCGGCAAGGCTAGCGGTTCCAAGAACGCGCAATCGTGAGTCAGCCCCTGTTTGCGCGTCGCTTCCTGCATCGCCAACCTTTAGAGCTGCGTTTTGAGCTCCGAGACGGAGCCAGCGCCGTTGTGCCGTTCATCACGCTAACCTGTGTTCCACACAGCCGTTCTTCCAAGGCTGGTCTCGCTTTCCCCGTCGGTCGTGTCCATCGTCTCCTCCGCAAGGGCAACTACGCCCAGCGTGTTGGTGCCGGCGCTCCCGTCTACCTCGCTGCTGTTCTCGAGTACCTCGCTGCCGAAATTCTTGAGCTTGCCGGCAACGCTGCTCGCGACAACAAGAAGACTCGTATCATTCCCCGTCACCTTCAGCTCGCCATCCGCAACGATGAGGAGTTGAACAAGCTTCTTGGCCACGTCACCATCGCCCAGGGTGGTGTTCTCCCCAACATTCACCAAAGTACGTGCATATGGTTACTCGTTTCAATGTCTACATGTGTTCTAACATTGTTTTCCCCATTGCAGATCTCCTTCCTAAGAAGACCGGCAAGACTGGCAAGAACGCGAGTCAAGAACTTTAAAGCCGGAGCTTAGTTTAATTTCTGTTTTCTCTTCCCTTTTTTCTGGTTGGCACGTTGGGTTCATGAAATTGGGGTTCACGGTCTAGGGTCAACGGTTGCTTTTCATGTTTGGGCTGTACATTATCCCCGTCAACGGTGATGGGTCATGAATGCGAATATCTTTTGAGCATCAGTCAAAAGTGCCGTTAATATCTCCATTATTTCAATCTCCCTTTCATTCACTCGTTGTGATGAATATGCTCAATAGCTGTCGCTACGCCATGCTGAACCAGCTGTAAGTGATAGGCTGTAGTCTGCGCTCATGTTCCACAGCTACCCCGCCATTTTGTCTGCCTGGTTCAGATCCCCGCTTCAGAAAGTCATGTACGGGGCATGTTAGACCCATGAATTCTTTGATGAAACCCAGCTTGAACGTGTCTATTCGTGACCATCTGTATAAAGTAATGATAGACGGTTGGCAACATGCAGGCCGATTTCTCAGAACTTGAGCGGCGGAGGAGCTGTGATCGAGGCCAGAGATATTAGCGGCTGGCAGCGTGATGGATCAGATGGATTACATGGACGCAAACTTACGGTCCAGAACGTGAGCAGGCAGGTTCCTCTCGTATTTTGAACCTAATTGACATTAGCAAGACTTCTATATGTACTCGATCGCAAGTGAAAGACTGCTTGCCTCCGGGAGAAAGTGGAGGAACAAAGGGGTCGGGATGTTTCCAATGCTCCAGGAGCTTCTCCGTCTCTTTCAAGAGCACCTAAGGCGATTGGTCAGCTTGGGCAGACTATCATATCCTGTGAACAGCGCTGCGCACCCGTAGTTGCCTAGGATCGTGGACGTCGCGGTTCTTTTCGAACAGGGAGCGAATGTAGAGGGCCTGGCCGCGCCATAGTTGGCGATTGACAGCCCAGTCGAGCGAGAGCTTCAGTGAGCGTCGGTAAAGGGACCTGTCAACAAAAGGTATAAGATCCTTGTTCTTGTCGCCATGATGGAGGACATGGATATACTGACAAGACAGCCGGTCGCGTCGACATGGTGGATTAAACTGACTCGTTCACCGTGGGTCCCGTTCGTGGAGCTCGACGAAACGTACGTTGTAGGCGTATATCCTATTTTGTCCAACAGCTTAGCACCCACCTCTTTGGCTGCGGTAGAGACAAGTGATAATCGGCTGTCGTGCGATTTCGGGCTGAGGCGGTGAATGGTAGGATAAGATAGAGATGATGAGGGAATCCGCAATTGCGCAATTGGGAAGAGGTACGTTAACACCGGGGGCTCTGCACAGGCGATTTGGATGGGCTTGCAGGACGCGCTTCCGTACTGGAGGGTGGCTGCCTAAGGCACAAATTATCACTTCAGCACCTGGCCATATACGGGGTTCACACTTCGTCTACTTGTGTACGCAGTTCACTACACTAGGTACATACCAAGAAGAGAAGTGATCTTTGCTCTGCCCAGTCTTACAAGCCTTGCGTCTTGCTTGGCTACCCAAAACTAGTCAAATCCGTGCTTTGGAGACTGCCATTCGAGGCACATGTAGCTATTACCTATCTTTATAGATTACAAGGACGTCCCTAATTATTCGCTATCATATTCATATAGTAGGCAAGAGTAACTTAGACCTGATCGATTGAGATTGCTTAGGCAAATCGCTAGTTGCCTATGAAAGACGCGATGTATACCAATGCGGTCTAAAAGCCTCGAGACCTGGGTAATCCGACACCCATGGCATATTTAAGATCCGTTACTCCGACGGTGTAAACGGTAACCCGGACGGATGGGCGAACCAGAGGTCCAAGCGTCTACGACATGCTAGCCTCGAGCTAGCGCACATACTCTCTCTACTACACGTGTACACTGTGTACACTATCTGCTGGGGAGGTGGTCCAGGGTAGTCTGAGTACGGACAATAGGATAGAAAATGGATGAGCACTTGACCGCTAAGAAAATGGTGCCCAGTATGGAATGATGGAAATTGAACGTCTATACATAGATTGTTAGATTCGCTGTCTTTCGGGAACCTTTCACACTCAAGTGTTATGCTTGACGATAAGCCGGTTGCCTGAGGGGGGCAACGATCCACGATCCGACTATAGGGTAAAGCCTAGGGAGGCTTGTTAGGAATGATAATTTAAGTGCTATGGAGGTGTTCGGTGCAGGTTGATCCCTGGACCGTGCAGGCTACCGGGTCGCACCCCGGAATGATTCTTGCGATAGCTCCTTGGGTTTCCAGAAGATGTTCCCCGTCCCAGCAAACTGCGAGGCTGACCCCGTGACGCTGTGAAGGACGGCCAGACAGGCTTACCTACTCTAGGTAGGCTGGTAGGGGACTCTAAGGGGACTCTAGTGTAGTTTCTTCTTACTTAGTTTACAGGTGTAACATGGACACTACACTACCTAGAGGTAACGGGTACGGTGAGGCTGGTGTGCTGCGCTGCCGTGCGGTGCGGAGAAAGCGCAAAAAAAAAAAAAAAAGTCGCGTAGAGTTACTGTACTGTGTGTGTGCAAACCATATGCTGGTGCAACAACTTGTTGGAAATGCGCGGGAGTCGCTTATTATGCGGGAGTGAATTTGACAGCTTGTACGATATCTAAAATGCAATTGAGTTAATGGACCCTTCCTTTGGGTCGCAGACGATCTGACCGTTAGTTTTCCGGTTGTCCCGGCAGATTTCTGTGCTGGGTGCTGCGTCATTGTCGCCGAGTCAGAACGGGACCTGTAGCCTCACGACAAATCTCATCTCAACCGCCAATTTCGCGTTCTTCATCCGACGCTGTTCCCCCCAACCTTGGTCCTACAAAACCTCTCAAAAGGCACATATTTGTCTCGCTTCCCTACCAACTCCTGCTCCTTTGCCCGGCATCCCGCTACTATGCTGTATAAAGGTCTTCGTCTTGCGGCTCGCGCCGCTCCCAAACTCGCGTTCTGCAATGCGACGCCCGCACTCCGGCAGCTTCCCCTGCAGTTCCAGCATGTCCGCACCTACGCCGATCAGGTCATCAAAGTCCCCCAAATGGCCGAGTCCATCAGTGAGGGTACCTTGAAGCAGTGGAACAAGAAGGTTGGCGACTATGTCGAGCAGGACGAGGAGATCGCGACCATCGAGACCGACAAGGTGTGTACGACGCTTCCTTAGTCCCGTGCCGGTGTCGGAGCCTAGACCGCTTGGAGCACATGCTGTCTGACCCCCTGTCCTGCCTCTTGCTACCGTCATAGCTCGCCAGCGGCACATGTATTTGCTTTCTAACTGCTTCTGCCACTGGGTTCTAGATCGATGTTGCCGTCAACGCTCCCGAGGCCGGTACCATTAAGGAGTTCCTCGTCAATGAGGAGGACACTGTCACAGTCGGCCAGGACATCGTCCGGTTAGAGCTTGGTGGTGCGCCCAAAGAGGGCGGTGCCGAAAAGCCGGCCGCGTCCGAGAGCAAGGAGGCTGCTCCCAAGGACAGCGCTCCTACTCCTGAGAAGGCTCCGGAGCCTAAGAAGGAGACCAAGCCCGCCGCTGCTCCTGCTCCCACGCCCGCCAAGAAGGAAACTCCTGCCCCCAAGCAGGAGACTACTCCTGCGAAGGAGGCCCCGGCTGCATTGGGCAATCGCGAGGAGCGCAGAGTAAGTAAACGGCTCCTGAGCAAACGGAGTGGTGAATCGGGCAAACTAACACCCTCCAGGTCAAGATGAACCGCATGCGCCTCCGCATCGCCGAGCGTCTTAAGCAGTCCCAGAACACAGCTGCCTCGCTTACCACATTCAACGAAGTTGACATGTCGGCCCTGATGGATTTCCGCAAGCAGTACAAGGACGAGATCCTCAAGAAGACCGGTGTCAAGCTCGGCTTCATGAGTGCCTTTTCCCGCGCGTGTGTCTTGGCCATGCGCGACATCCCGGCCGTAAATGCCTCGATTGAGGGTCCCAATGGCGGTGACACCATTGTCTATCGGGACTATGTTGACATCAGTGTCGCTGTGGCCACCGAGAAGGGTCTTGTCACTCCCGTAGTCCGCAATGTTGAAGCCATGGACCTCGTTGGCATTGAGAAGTCCATCGCTGATATGGGCAAAAAGGTACGGCTTCCCGCGCCTATGGAGTGCTTATATTACCTTACTAACGGTTACTGCAGGCTCGTGATGGTAAGCTTACCATTGAGGACATGGCCGGTGGCACTTTCACCATTAGCAACGGAGGCGTTTTTGGCTCCTTGATGGGTACCCCGATCATCAATCTTCCTCAGAGCGCAGTTTTGGGTCTCCATGCTATCAAGGAGCGACCTGTTGCTGTTAATGGAAAGGTTGAAATTCGCCCCATGATGTACTTGGCTCTCACCTACGACCACAGGCTGCTTGATGGCAGGGAGGCTGTCCAGTTTCTGGTTAAGGTGAAGGAGTACATTGAGGACCCCAGGAAGATGCTTCTTTAGGTTGTTGTAGTGGCAAAAATCAAAGATTGTGTGTATTGCACCGGGCTTCTAGTGCTCTCATATCATATGGGTTGAACAATAATAAGAACAACAGAGTATTGAGAGTCAAGTCATTAGGATGTGAGTGTAATGGGTCTGGCGCTTAGGGATATAATGCCCGGCCGCAGAGCCGAAGCATGCTCCCTAGTTGGCCGATACCTTAGGCCACCTGTTCTCTTCTAGTACTTAGCTTCCGGGCTGCAAGCTTTTCCCAGCCTATAGACCTTTTTCTCTTTGTTGATAATCTCAAGCTCTGTTCTACCCCTACTAGACATATTGTATTATACTTAGTAGACTTGAAATATATTATGGGAATTCCTCCCCGCACCCACTCTAGTCCTTAGAGTTACCCTGTCCTACCAGATGACAACTGTTATACAACACTGGCTGTTTTTGCTAGTAATCTCGAATTTTCCAATAAAGGTAGTCACTTAATATAGCACTAAACAGCTATATCCTTCCCTATCAGCAATTTAACACTCGTTAGGTCTACAAAATCGACTGTTAGACTAGCGGGCGAGCTACTAGTTAGGGATATTGGTTTATATATAGATATTAATTCGTACCGCGCGAGTAATTTATACTAGCTAGTAGAAGCTCTTAGCGCTAAGGTCCTTTATACTAAGCCGATTAACTAGTCTTGTTACATATATATATAGTTTAACTACATTTTATCCATCCTAAATAAGTACCCAATATATATATATTATATACCGTTTTAACGTCGGACTGACCTTCCGACCGAAACCCCTAGCTTAATAGGGCTTAATGGACTTATACTACCCGCGCTCCTAGAGCGTAGGGGGTCGACCGCGTGGCGGCAATAGCGCTTATATGGTTACAATCCTCCAAAGGGAAGTAATACTTCTATCCTCCACCGTAGGATTAGTAGAAACCCTATTCTAAGGTAATTAATAGTTTAATTGAAAATACTCTATTAGAACAAAGGAAAATTATATAAGAGAGAGAAGTGTTACGCGAAGATGTACTTTACAAGTAATAACAATAGAGAAAGATAAAGTAAGCAATTGGTTGCTAGACAAAGCAATAGTATATAATAATTAACGACAGTCTTATTAAAGAAAACTAAAGATAAAAACTATTGCGAGCCTCAACCTGGGACCTTGTATACGACTTTACTAAGTATAAGTAAAATAACTATAAGGTTAATATAATATAAATTAATAATCTATTAACTATAATAAAAATTAATAGGATAAACAATCTTGTATAGCAAATTATATATTTTAATAAGTAGTTACTATAATAAAACAAAACATCTAGGTATCTACTTAAAATACCCTATAATATTTCCCCCTCAACGAAAAGAAAAGAATATTCGCTATCAATATAATACTATTAAAACTAATTATATATATTAAAAATTCAATTATCCATGAGAACCTCTATCTATTACAGTATACCCAAGTTAATTATCAGAATATAAAAATATATAATTATCTAAATATAATATACAATTTAATAACTTAGTATCAATTTTTTAGTAACTATATTCGTAATATAATTAGCGATTGTTAAAATTATCCTCTTCTATCTCCTTAGTTTTTATTCATATAATA